TGGAGCATGTTGCATGTGAACCTGGTTCATTTACTCTATTATCTATGGTTGGAGGAAGAGTTCCCTCATGTTTTACATTTTTCTTCTTTGTCTTGTTATTACATGTCTCCAAGTCAAAGCTAATTAAATATTCTATAATTAGCAATCTCATTTTTATTATGAGACAATTGTCAAACTCTTTCTATTAAAACAATCAGCTTGTGTTAATTAATAATTATAAGTTGTAGCACACTACATGTACATGTAAGTAGCAAGATATTACATGTATGTCTTTATTATGTTGATTCTGCTCCAGCTTCTAAAGTGGTGGCATCAGATTATCATTATCTTGATCAGGATAAATGTCCTATGAAATAGCAAGATTAATCAATAATTTTAAACAATTATGCTCATATACCCCATCAAGTTGTTCATCTGTTATTAATTTTTGTAGTGCTCTGTTTAAAAAGATTATGTAAAAATACAATATATCATAACTTACTTTTGTACTTCATGTATAAGGTCTCTGTCACCACTTACAAGAAACATACGTATTTTTGATTTGCTAGCATCCTGCGTTGGTTGTGCCTATTAAAGTATTAACTTATAGATCAATGACACGTTTATTATGACACTGACCCATTCATGAGTCCATTGTCCTGTACTGCCATCACCAGTGTAATAGTATTGTGAGAGAGATACATGATTCTCATATCCAGACTTTATAGGCTACGAATGTAATATTGTAAATACGCATGTTAATATAATTTTTTTAATTTTTTACATCAATTATGAGGTGGCCTGCAATATTGTCAGGTTTAATACTTCCTTCAATGTACTGTTTCTAAAAATGTCATAATGAATTATTTATCATCTAATTTCTTTACTATTCTATCCACATTCCATTCAGTTGTTGGTTGAATATGACCAATCTGACCAATAACTTTCATAGAGTCTAAACAACTTAACAATTCTTGTACCTGTACAAACAATGAATGTAATAATAATAGCAAATTGACATTCTTACTTCATGATCATCGACCAATATTTTAATGACACTGAGAATCCCATCATTGAGTTGAGAGTAAGCAAGCATGCTCTGTGTAGCTTCAGGTAAAGTCACTCGTCTACAACAACATGCAAAGTGTAGAAGTGATACAAAACAGTTCATTGATACCTATCTTCATATCTGATTATAGGAATGTCATTTGATTTGGCCAGTATTCTTTTTATCCTAAAAAATATGTCATTATATTAATAATGCAGACACTTACATTAGTGCAGCAATCCTGTTCTTGCGTAAATAATACAATTCCCTGAAGAGAGTGTGACGAGTTCTGAATAAATCATTATATGTCTCTAAATCCTAAAAATAATATAAATATTCATAGTTGTTCTTATACAGTATGATCTAACGTCTTTTTGAAAACAAATATGTGATTCTCCATCAGCACACCTCAAAACACGAACTTTGCTTAAAAAAACTCTGTAATATTGTAAATAAAGTTTGTATGATTTGTTTTACCTCCATCTAAAGGTAACATTCTTTCCCAACACAGCAGCATCTCTCACTGTACTGTCAATCATACTAACATCTAGCCCACTCTTTTTATTAACTACAATCTGTATATTGAATTATGGTAGCATTATTATCAGTTTAAACTACATCATACCTCATATAGGAATCTTTTATCCTTACGTTGTTCCTACAAATTTCTTTTAACTTTAATTATTTCAATTACAATACTGTATTACAATACTGTATACTATAGATATTTCATTTAGGAAATCAAAAGTGTACTCGAATTTCTAAATCTTAACCAAGGTGGTACTAATGTGGGGTGATTTCTTACTGTGCAGTATGCATGCACAGCATGTGTACCTAATGCATGTAGGTATACGTGCATGAAAACATAAAATTTAATTCACTCAAAATTTTTAAAAATTGCAAAATATAAAATTCTATTTCCTCAAATTTTGTGCCTGTGAAGATTATTTGCATTTAAAGCCCTCATTTATGGTCAAAGATTATGGTACTTACAAAATTTACTCCTTGAATAAGCTCTTTAATGAATGTAATGTCTTCTGTGGTAAGTTTATATTCTTCAAAAGAAGCCATTAAATCTCTATTATTATGCATGTATTCAAACATTTTAACAGATACTTCAGGAACATTCTGTATTTGGATTACACATGATACATTGATTAATATCTTACCTTCCAAGGCTTGTTAAAGTCAGTTGTTGCCGACATTTCATCTAGCAACATGTCAAAAGTATAAGAAAAAGGGCCATGACCCAGGTTAAAGCAAAGAGCAGCAATTTGTACACACAAAACATCAGACTCAGTAATATTCAGCTCAGGTTGTTTCCTTTGAAGTTGCTTAACATATTCTCCAGCAAGAAAATACATTCTATAATTTTTGTTTTTTAAATAATTTTAATTAAATTTACCCAATGCTGTGTTGAAATCTTGAATAATTTGCTTTTGGCATGATGTGATATGTGTAACCTATTGTACATGCAAAAGTTAAGAAATTGATGTCTAGTTTACCCAATTGCTTGATATCTTTTAGTCTTTGAAATTGACGTGTTTTTACAATTTTTATAATCAATGGATGATCAATGACAATGTCACCATATACGTCATCTTGAAATATCTATTACGAGTGAGAATTGGAGTATTTAGTTCTAATCTGCTTACAAGAGGATTTATTTCTTGTCCTAAATTAAAAAAAAATTAGTGTTATATAATTAAATTCCGAGTAAAACATGCCTGTCTCCAGGTTTTGAATTTTAATACTAACATTTGTTTTTTTACCCAAAAATCAATTAAAATTTGTAAATATTTACCTTGCACTAGTTTATCTTTCTCAATTTGTTGTAAATTCATTGTTGTTATCTTCTCTTGCAATAATTCTATTTTGGAGCTAAATAAATCACCTTTTTCTTAAAGCTTTAAAAGAATTATAACTCAGGAGAGCTCAGTAAAAAAATATTTTCCATGAATTTTCATGACAGAATGACAACCCAACTGCTTAGTACCCGCCTACGCAAGCGTGGCGAGTCCATAAAAACAAGCTTCTTTTCTAATAATTATTTTATTTCTTTCAATTTATCATTTTCCTTTTATTATTTGACAAGTGAAGTTACATTTAAACCCATTATAATAATCTAATAAAGCACACATCATATACCTTCCTCCAGTTTTCTAATTTGTAATATTAGCAATTCTTCTTTTTCTATAATATTTTTACACAACTAAAATTATACATAATATATTCACCTTGCACTTTTTTATCCATCTCAATTCTTTGTGAATGCATTGTTGTAATTTTCATTTGTAACATTTCTATTTCTTCCTTGCTTTTAGCTTTAATGATTTTTATTTTTTAGCATTAATTAATATAAGTAAGTCACTTTTTGTATACTGTAGGGCACCTTTTTTTTAAGGGCTATAGGTTTCATGGATTTATATTTTGTGGATTTAATTTTTGCAAATTTATGCTCTCTGCCATCTTGTACCATATTAATTTGATTTTTGCGGAAGTAATTTTCACAAATTTAAAAAAATCATGTAATCCGCGAAATTTACAGCCCTCGAAAAAAGGTGCCCTATGGTATATCACATTTATATGCATACCTTCATTCTCTTCTTGATGTAATACTGTATCCATTTGTGTTTCTTCAATCTTCTCAACTAGATCTAATTGTTAATTGAATGTATTATTTATATTCACATATACATGCACATGTACATATACCTTCTTTTTCAGATTGAAATAAAGCAAGCTGCTGTTCTAATATTTTTTTAATTTCTTTCAAATTTTCATTCTCCTATCATTATTATTTATAATAATAGTTCAAATTTTTCACTAACTTCTTCACGTTCTGTTAAATGTGATACTTTCTCTTCTAATAACTGCTTTGTCTCAGCTAATAATAAGTAAACTAATCACTGTGACAACATTATTATACCTGCTATTCTTTTAAACCTCTCACTCTCTGCTATACTGGCACTCAGCATCTTGTTTTTAGCATCCAGTGTTTCTTTTAATGACTCCACTTCTTTCTTCATTGTTATACTTTCCTATAAATGAATAAATTAAGAGTTGATGCAAATCATAGTTCATTTGTTCATGCTACTTCATGTAAATATTATTAGAAGAGCTTATATAGTCATACCTCATTTAAAGTAGTAACCTCCTCTGTTCTATTAATCAGTTGTACACTCAATGACAGCATCAATTGTTTCATTAAACCACTACTAGTTGATAATGATGAGGTGTATTCATCTATTTCTGTTGTAGTAGCAGTGGAGGTATCCTTGACCTTTTATTAATAATGAAATCAGTTCATAAAATAGTCTATTTACCTCATACACAGTGCAGTATCCAATGGTTAATCTCTTCACTTTGTTTTCTTTCAATACATCAATATTATTAAGAGCAGCTGTAATTAACTGCTCAGATAGAATCAAAGGGAAGGAACAAGTGATAGTGAAAGAATTGCCATCTTGAACGACATTTAATTTGACATGTCGTGAGAAATTTTTAAATAAAGCTGATGAAAGTCTTTTGACATCATTAAGCACTGACTGGTTAGCATCCTCATCAACAAAAATTGTAATCCTTTCACACTCAAGTGGTGAAGCATGTGAAATTGTTTCATTCAGACACTGACTGAGTTTTGTTTCCTTTAGCTCCTTGATTGCCTTTTTATATTTCTGAATAGCGTCCTTAGCCTCCTCTATATTGAACTCATTAATGAAGTACTCCAGCACACTAATGTCATCGAGTGGACAACTATCACAAACTAACTGTAGAATGCTATGGATATCCTCACACTGAGCTACTTGAGGCCTTAATGCTTTGTCGTATGCACCCAAAACATATTTGATATTATCAAGTGTTGGAGACTGAGGACTGCTCATCATGATTGATCCCACTTTGAAGAATGTCTGGCCCAAAGTTAAACGCATCTTTTTAAACTCTAAGGTAACATTCAAAGGTAGAAAAATCTTCAGCCCTTCAACTAAATTATTGTAGTTAAATAGATATTAGTAAAGTACCAATTCTTACCATTTGTGTTGTCATTTACTTTCATTAAATCATCAATGCAATATACAACTCCTGTAAATACAATTTACTAATCCATGCTGCAATTAAAAATGTATACTTACTGTATTCTTTCATTATAGCATTTCCTAAGCTAGCAGTCACTTTGAATTTGTGTAAGATCTCAGCAAATGCCTTTAGTTTTCTATAATCATTGCAAACAGCTTCCTTTATTTGAGTCAGCAGATCCTCTCCTTGTACATTGGTGGCAAGAAGGATCTCTTTTATTAGCTTTTCCAAGCACAACAATGCAGTCAATTGAGGCAATAATGCCAATAGAGATCGGTCTGATGCACAATGAGCAAGAATCTTGCAAGCAGGATGCTCTGAACAATAGATATATCCATAAATTTAATGATACTCATTTAAAACTTACTTTCCATATCTATTCCATCAGCTACTGCCTTTTGTTCTATTTCCCTCAATGCTGATACCAATGAATAGATAGTAGGACCACCTTTCTTCTGTACATCATCAGCTTTCTGTAACCATCTATTCAGACACTCACGCAGACAACTCTCAACATTTCTTTCATTTTCTCTAATAGCATCCAGTGTAGCAGAGGATAGACCAAGAAAGAGACCAAGATCATAAAAACGGACTCCAGAGTAACCATGTCTTCTGAGTAATTGAAGTACCTCAGCAAGATCAGTGACTATTAAATAATTGTATTTAGTATAAGAAATAAGTAACTAAACATAGTTCAGGTACCATTACATTACCTAACATTCCACGCTCTGATCCGTCAGTCTTTCTTTTCTTGAGAGAGTTTTCTGCTTCACATTCGTTAGAAGTCTTTCTTTTTATCCCAGCGGCTCCTGTGACTACTGACTAATAGATATAGAGCGGTTGCAGTGACGTCACTTTTGACGCCATAATTACTTCCGTATGGCAAAAATTAATGAGCCTCATTCGTTTACACTTTACAGCAGTAAAATTGCTTCTTCTATAACTTCTTTTACACAGCACAAGGCAGAAAAGGAGTACAATTCTAGCAGTAGTAAGCAGAAAAGTAGCGATAGCAATAATTACAGGAGTAACAAGGCAACGCTGTGTTCACTTTGGCCGCTTCACTGGTTCTCTATCCGAGAACTTTTTGCTTCCTTTGCATCCCTGAGTTTGGAAAAATGAAAGCAGCATGGATTAGCCATGCTCATAGTTAAGGAAGCCTGCCAGAAGAGTTTATAGTGCTGTACAAATGAATGGCAAAGTAGCCATTTTGTCATGCGGAAGTAATTATGACGCATGCTGTGACGTCATATGAAACCGCTCTATAATATAGCTAATGAGCTCAAGTTTTGCAAAGAAAGGTGGGGTTCAAAACAACGCCCACGTGATCTGATCTAATAGGAGGGGCTAAGAGACTAAATTTGCTAATTTTGTCATGCTTGATTTTGATTCAGCTTGAAGGCTTGAACTGAGTGAGTCTGAGGTAGTCTCATCTTTTGTAAACTGATAATTCTATTTTATGTACTATTAGTGTCTATATATTTATCAGTAGTACTGGAGTAACTGATGGATCAGTGATACAATCATTGATACAAGTTATGACTGGTGAGAATTGCCAGCTCACTGGACCCTGACTCTAAGAAGTTAGTCTATAATTATTATTTATTTATACTACTGTATGGGTACAAATATTATTAAATTTTAATAAATTAATAATAAATTTTAATAATAAATTTTCTTAGTTTTTATTAATAACTATTTATAGCTTATTTGCACATGCAGAGTAGGGGTAGGGGGATTATTCCTGAAAATTTTCATATTATTCTATTCAGCATATCTCTAAAAATCAAGAACTGATTCTCCAAAATTAATCAAATATTCTCAAAAAATTCTCTTTAAATAATACTAATAGCTATTACTGCAACATAACTGCTGCCTCAACATGGTGAAAAAGTAATGAGTCTTGCTTATAACTAAACTAGACGTCAAAAAATCATATTAAATTTTGTGTAGTAGATTCCAAAAAGGATGTACATAATTGGCATGAGCTACTTTCTCATAAAATTTCATTGTAGAAGCCATTTTTATTCCATGTGTCACCTTTTATTCCCAAAATTATTCTGTATTCTTTTACAGCTTATTATTCCTATTTTTATTCCAGCCTAATCCCCTCACCCCTAATGCAGAGTACCTGACTACTCATTCACTACTCGATACCACCGGTACTGATACTCAGACTACTTGGTATTGGTATGGTGCAATGAATGGAAATTAAACCTCAATGTGAACAAATGTTATCACATGTCATTTTCTATCCTTCACAATATGGAGGAAGGTCTAACACATCAAGTTGATAGTGTTTCACTTAATAAAGTGAACACCTGTTGCGATCTTGGCATTATTGTGACTAATAATCTATCATGGTCAAAACACTATCACTTTATATGTGGCAAAGCCTATCGTGCCCTGCATTTTATTCGGAGAAACATTTCTGCCTCTTCAAGCATGTCTGTCAAAAGATCTCTATACATTTCTCTAGTCCACTCTCATCTCAGTTATTGCTCACAGCTCTGGTCCCCTGCTTACATCAAAGATATCAGGATGTTAGAGACAGTGCAGAGAAGAGCAACTAAGTATATTGTTTCTCATTCTATGTCTTATAGGGAAAGACTTATTGAGCTTTATTTACTTCCACTAATGTACTATCTCGACCTACAAGATGTACTCTTCCTTTTAAAGTGTATTAAACATCCCCCTGATAATCTGGACATCTTCTCTTACATCACTTTTTGTACATCCAACACCAGATCTTCAAGTTCTGGCAAGCTCAAATATATATATAAATGCCGGCTATCTATCACTAGACACTTTTACTTTAGCCGAGTAGTACGAATTTGGAATCAACTTCCATTTTTGGACCTGTCTCTTTCATTTAATGTACTAAAGTCCACCATTACCAACTACTTATGGGAGCACTTTATCACTAACTTCAATTCATCTGATATATGCACCTTCCACTTTGTATGTCCGTGTGGCAACTGCCATGTTATAAATGCATTCTGATTTTAACACTAGTTAATTTTATTATAGTTTTTATTAGTATTGCATTGTACATTATAATTATTTCTATTTCGGGCTTTTACTTTTACTTTTTAGTATAAGCCTTCAACTGCTCATTGTCCTTGAATTTTTAATTATTTGTTCCTTTTTGTCAATTTAAGTTGTAAAATCCGTTATTATTATTATTATTATTATTATTATTATTATTATTATTGATTCAAAATTTATGGTATTGCCCACCTCTAATTATTAATTAAAGTGGGTGAAGTTACTTATAAGTATAGGTTATATATACACCGAGGTAGAGGTTTCTATGGTACTTTATTAACCTCATGACTTTCTATGGTACTTTATTAACCAAGCGATAAAAACAACTACCAGCTGCTGATTATAAGACCACAGTTGACATGCATACAACATATCTAACAGGCTAGGAGTAAAGAATCAATCAAGCTTGACAAATAGACTAATAAGAGCATAAGTGTAGAGCGACAGGTTTCTAAGTGTTCCCGGGAAATATCTAATAGATTTAGAAAGTAGAAACCTGGTATTCTGTAATCTGATTGGTCAATTAAAACTTGGCATGGTAGAATTAATGGTATTCATGAGAATATACATGTAAAGATTGGTGACAGAGGGCTAAGCTGGGATTTTTATCCAGAAGATTATGAGAAAGAGGAGGGGGAAATGAGACTATGAATTACCTTGACCTTAAAAATACTTAATGAAAAATACAGTCAGCAAAGCACATGCAGTGTTTTTGGAAAGAATATTTTAAAAAGGCAATAAACATTGGCAATAAACATTGGCAATGAACATTGGCAATGAACATTGGCAATGAACATTGGCAATGAACATTGGCAATGAACATTGGCAATGAACATTGGCAATAAGCAAGTAAAGCAGTAAACATGTTGATGCATTTTTTAAAATTATGTTAAATTTGGGTAGTGTTTATAAATTTTTAGGTAATTTTGTATTGTATACCTGAAAATTATAAACTGCAATTGTATAATGCTTAACATAGGTTCAAGCGATTCAAAAGAAATTCACAGCACTATGAGACCATTGCTTATCCTTTCAAGTGGATGGCCCCAGATAGCTAAATCAATAATCGTTAAATGTATGTACTATCACTAAATTAGAGCCAAACCGCAAATTGATATGATGCATGATAATGATGATGGTCTCTCATTGTTTGTATATTCTAGTGGTCATTTGGTGTTGTACTGTGGGAGATAATGACAAGAGGAAAGACTCCTTATGAAGATGTACTACCTGAAAATATGTTAAACTATTTAACTACTGGCCACAGACTCCCCCAACCTAAAAACTGTCCTGATGATCTGTAAGATATTAAATAAACACACACACACACACACACACAGTAGAGTAATTGAGAAATTTCATGTTAAGTGCATATTTGCCATTTTTAAATACCCAAGGGTATAGCTTATGGTTTTCCAAAAAATAAGTCTAAAATTATCCCCAATTTTATTACAGTTTCTGATAAATATTGATGTACTTATGCTGTGTAAAAAGTTTGAGCCCATTCCGACTTCCATTTTTCAAGTTACAGACTTTTTAAAAATGAGCCAAAATCTACTAAAGGCTGTCCATGGTTTTTTCCAAAAAATGGCTCCAAAATCACCCCAAATTTTCATTACAATTTTTCTGATACATATCAATGTACTTAGGCTGTTTTTCCCAAAACTACTGCCTTGTCAATATTTTTCCACTGTACAATATTGGCATTATTGTTGTATTTATCTCTCTCTCTCTCTCTCTCTCCTAGTCCCTCACTGATAGGAAGAGGCCTGTGTATTCCTGTACTATGATATGAAGGGTGTGGTGGCTTGTCTCACTGGATTCAGAAATGATAAAGAACTTGCAGTAAGTTCACATGCCCACACAGTCTTTAATGATACATGTACAATGTAATAATCATGTAATGTATAATAAGGACCTACATGTAGTGCATTGTCAATGATATTAGCATACAGTCTAATGATGTTAACACTGATATTAACACTGATATTAATGCTGAATGTTTAATGCACATGTACTGTACATGTATTAAAGTCCATTTGTGTTCACCTGAGCCTTTGTTTTCTTGCTATAACTTTTGACTTACAAGCTCTATTGTAAAAATAAACATACCAGTGCATTCCTCTCCTTTTGCCGCATCTATTGTACTACTTAAGAAGCAGCTTTAGCTCTTTAACTCCAAGTTGGTTGTATAACCCATGCAGAAAGTACAGCCATACTTTTCACAATATTATTGCATTGTGTTAATTACTGGGTGGGGTCTGTAATCACTTCCTGGGCTCAGGTGAATGCAAATGGACTTTAGTATGTACCCTATTACTTTCATTGTATAAGTTTAATGCTAATATTAGCACACTGATGCTAACACTGATATCACTGATACTAACACTGATATTAACACTGATACTAACACTGATATTAACACTGATACTAACACTAATATTAACACTGATATTAACATTGATACTAACACTGATATTAACACTGATATTAGCACTGATAATATTATTATTCTTATAGCGTGAGTTATGTGACATGATACATTGGATGGGTGGTAGTGTGAGGAATAAAGTATCATCAGCTGTTACTCATGTTGTAGCTAAGAACGTCATTGGGACCAACTACAAGGTACAGCTTAATTTTACATGTATTGTTAATTTAGTATTAATTTAAGTACCTTATAGCATGAAATTTTTTCGAGTGCTAATTTTTGTTTTTTTTTGTTCAAAAATTGAATGAGACTCTTAGACTATAAAAACTTTTAATGATATGTGTTTGCCTGGTTAATGATTACTGATCATTGAAGATATCTTTAGGATGGACAATGAAATTTTATGGCAACAAAAATTTCCTACTATAGAGTATTCATTAAATAATTAATTAAGTATCAATTTATTATTAAGTATTGATTAATAAATAAATTTAGTATTAATTATTGATAAAGTATTGATCCCCCTGTCATTAGAATGCAGTGTCCTTTGGTATTGATATAATGAGAGAAGACTGGGTTCATGAGTCATATAAGAACAGGAATAACCCGTGAGATTATAATGACTTATTATTGTCATTGTGGCATGATGACTTACAATGTATTGTCACTGAATGAGACTATTGTGTGCTCCTCACTGACTGTAATTGTTTTTATTATTGCTAGTACATGTACATGTATTTATAATATGTTTGTGTTTCAATAGGAATGTATCTGCTACAGACCCTGAACTGGTAAGATTAATCTATCAATTTTAAAAATTATATACTAGGGCTGGGACGAAGCTTCCAAAGGTTTCAAGTGATGGCTTTTAAAGCCTTCAAAGCTTCATTATTAGTAGTTATTAATAGTTAATTTGAATAAAAGTTTATGTAGTAGGACTTTGATAGTATAAACAGAAGCGGGTGATAATTTTTAAAATGTACAATAAAGCTTCAAAGGCTTTGATTTCTTTATGTGGAAACTTTGAAGGTTCCAAAGTGATCTTCATCCCAGCCCTATGTGTACATGTATGTGTATCAACTCTCCCTCGCTCCCTCTCCCTTCCTCTCTCCCTCTCCCTCCCTCCCCAGATGGTATTCAAGCAGTTACCATTCCTCGGTTGTCACTTGTCATTGTTTGGATTCACTCCAACAGAGGCTGAGCATGTCAGTGAGATAGCTCAGACTAACGGTACACTACCAACACATAACGTAATGTCACATAATCTCATTAATGATAATTATTGTAGGCGGAGTCATGTGTGAATCAACTGATGATAGTTTGACTCATTTGGTGATAGCTAATGGAGTGGATACTAATAATGTACCAACTGGTATACCACCAAGGACTCACATAGTCAAGCAACAAGTAAGAGAGAGAATATTTATTCATTTATTTATTTTATTTTTTTAGTGGTTTTGGGAAAGTATTCAAATAGAAGCTTGTGCTGATGAAGCAGTTTATTATGCAAAAGTAATTTTAAGGAATATTTATTATTAACTATTATTATTATTATTATTATTATTATTATTTTGTTGTTGTTTTTGTTGTTGTTTGTAGGAGAGACCTAAAAAGAGACATTCCATTCATAATTCCTCTTCATTCATTAATGTGGATAGTCTACTGGAGGCATCACTAGTCTCACTATCATCACCTATTACTAGTGAGTACACTACTACATGTTCTTTAGAAAATAAATTATTTTAAGTGCAATTTTGAGCTCATGTTCATGCATAGAAAGGAACATAATATTTTATAAATTTTGTGTACATGTACACAAAATTACATGTGTACATGTGATCATGACCATTGACCTGATGTGCATGTACATCTAAATGTACAATACATGTATACATGTACATTGTACATGTATACATTTGCAATTATTATTATTTTACGCTACCACAGGGCAGGGGCTAAGAGAGGGAGGTATTAGGAGACAATCAACACTAGCCACTGCTTCAATAGCCACACCCACCCAATCCGGTCCCGCTGTCACCACGGCAACAGAAGGGGGCAGGGCAGTTCCCAATAAACAAGACACAGCCAGATACCACATTGTCAAAGAACTACTGACGACAGANAAAAATTTTGTAAAAATCCTCAACGTGATTGTCAATGTAAGC